TTTACATTTGTAGCCAGACAGCTGGGTAAGTAACATGCAGCTAAAGCATACTGAAGAGATCTTTAGATCCTTCCTTTGATCTCCTGACTTAACTTCTGTAAAAAATGCAGTAAAAGCAGTAAGTCACCTAATTATTCTAATTGCTCTGCCATTCAGTGATTAACTATTTTGCTGCCTGGAAATCATGCTTTTTTTTTAATTCAATGTGTATGTCCTTATCACTATATGTGTATCTCCTTAGAGTTAATCAAGGGATTCAGATAACCTTAGCTGACAAAGAAGGAGAAAACAATGAAGGTTCCTTTGTAATGTTTGAGAGAAAAGACAGCAGCATATCAATACCCCCAGAGGAGTGGGTGGTGCATCTAGCTTCTGGTCTACTGGCAAAACCTTGAGTGCTTCCTCTTCAGTGTTTCTCAACCTTGACAATTTTAAGGCATGTGGACTTCAACTCCCAGAATTCCATAGCCAGCATTGCTGGCTGTGGAATTCTGGGAGTTGAAGTCCACATGCCTTAAAATTGTCAAGGTTGAGAAACATCTAGCTTCTAGCCAGAAAGGGGACAGACTATGGGGATGTGGGAATAGTTTACTTCTGGTTTGATGTATATTGACTGGCAGAGATTCATTTTTATAACCCATGAGAGGGATTTAGAGAGTTGTGAGCCATGTTATTGCACAAATCAAATGGCTTAAAAACAGTGAATTAGTAGTTAAAGATGTAGTCTAAATCAACAAATAATATCAACAAATTTGATCAAATAAATAAAGAAAAACAAAAAGATGAATATACCAACAGAATGAATTGTAAGATGACATAAAAAATAGGATGTGGAAATTCACTGGAACAGGGTGAAAATAATTATGTTCTAGAGCAGTGGAGGCGAACCTATGGCACGCGTGCCAGAGGTGGCACTCAGAGCCTTCTCTGTGGGCACGCATGCCGTGCCCCAGAGATGGGGAGGGACTGGCCCCGCCCACCCAGTCTGCCATGATCACCGCGGCCACGCCCCACCTGGCACCCAGTGATAAATAAGTGGGTTTTGGGTTGCAGTTTGGGCACTGGGTCTCTAAAAGGTTCGCCATCACTGTTCTAGAGTGCCCTGAAGTGTGTGAATTTTGCGTTATGCATGTGGAAAGTTCTGAAAAAAAAAATGCTTGGTGGGGTGACGCAATGAAAAAAGGTTGTGGGTGAGGAAAAAAGTGAATGCGAGGGAATGATTGATAGAAAAATGACGAGAAAAAGATGTTGTACCATGTATGTAGTGAAAAAGATAGTTACAAAAATTACAAAGAATGTAATCAAAGAACAAGAAATATTTAAGATTAAAGGAGGCAAGTAAATGGGGAGTGATTTTCTGGAAAAAAGGTTACAATGTCTTTTTTGTTATCTCATGTCTTTTAGTTGTTGTTTTTTTTTGCTTACCAATTGCTAGGGGTTTTTTTCTTCACTTACATAAATTGCTTGCCTTCAAAGGGAATTTCATGATGGAGATATGTATGTATATTTCTAGCAATATCATCATTGCTTACAGATAGTTCCTTACCTTGAACAAGATGCTTAGTGGGACCATTACCAGATTTAACTAGTTCATTTGTAAAGTTTAAAATTAAAATAAAGTGATTCTCAGTGCTGATAGGAGCAGTTTTGCAGATTAGTATTTAGTTGTTCTAGAAAGTGATGGTCAGCTTCTTTTGCATAGAGTTGCCTTCTTTCTAAAGAACGAACTCAGTTCACAGTTTAGGAGTTTTCCTAGATGCAGTTGGATTACTTGAAGCCCAAGATGTACATTCTCTTGCATATGGGACTGTTCTTGACTTAAGATTATAGTTAGACATAAGTAAGATCAATTGCTGGGAAAACCTCATGCTGAAGCTGAAAATGTTTAATTGAGTTTTGGACAGCCCCAAGATCAACTAAAGTTCAATGCTCTATATTTATGTATTAATAGCCGTGGTGGCGCAGTGGTTAGAATGCAGTATTGCAGGCTAACTCTGCCCACAGCCTGGAGTTTAATCCTGAATGGCTCAAGGTTGACTCAGTCTTTTATCCTTCTGAGGTTGATAAAATGAGAACCCAGATTGTTGCGGGCAATATGCTGACATTGTAAACTGCCCAGAGAGTGCTGTAAACCACTATGGGACAGTATATAAATCTAAGTGCTATTGCTATTTATGGGTTCCTACAAGATTTGTGGCTTAGGTGCCCAATATAATATCTGCTTCCAAATCTGCCTTCCCATTTAGTACAGAGTATATTAAGGTTTCCTCCTGAGTGCTATGAGAGATCTTTTTGGTTATGGCTTCCCTCATCCATGGAACTGTCTCCCTGGTGAGATATACAGTGTTTTGTTTTCCATGAAAGAAGGCAGTGTCCTTTACACTTTAAAATGCTTTAATTGGTCAAAGTAATCCTATTTTCATTGCTGTTTTTAGTAGATGCTATTGTATTTAATTTCTAGCAAGATAAATGATCACTTTACCTGCTAGCAAGGATATGTTATTTATATAAGCCAAATAGGTCAGCTTCCTAAGTAAAGGAGTTAAAGGACTTTATAAATTGGAATATAAAAATAGAAACATAGCAGTGAAGCACTTTTGAGACTCCCTGCCTCTGGCCTCATATTTTAGATATTTAAGAGCATTAGTGTGAGAATTAAAGAAGTATAATGAAAGGTGTGTGAGTAGAGTTCATTATCAATTTTATTACTATTTATTTCTTGCACTAAAGAAACACTATGCAAAATGATTGTCCCCATGCGGTTTCAGTTTTAGTGGTTTATTCTTTGATGTTCTGGTAAATAGAAATCCCTACAAAGACGACTACTTCTTCCCAGTTTTCCCTTCCCAATCTTTAAATAATATTTGTTAGCCTACATTTGCCTTCCAAATACTTATTTGCGGATAACCTTTTTGTTCTTTGTATACAGTACAGAAGAAAATTGTTTTTTACATCCTAAAGTCTGTAACCCAATTAACTGATTCATTGTCAACACCCCGCTAGACGCTTTGTCGCTTGTTCAGGGGTTATCAGGCAGAAAGATCAAAAATTCCAGATTGAATTTTTCTGGGTCACCTGTTCATATCTCTTCTTTAATGTGAGCTATGTTATTATACTGTGATTTTCCAAAGGGGAAAAAAATCAAACATGAAGCTTATTTTCAGAAGAGTATAAACCTGAGCTCTTTTTTAAGTTTCAGAGCCCATGACTGAGCCATTGACCTTATCTCCTCATCCCGGAAAAGCAGTGCAAGCAGGTCACATGTAGTGCATGTTGATATTCGTCAAGTGAGAGAGATGGATTGAGCTCTCAATGCATAGCATTACGCTATGTAGGATAATATGTAGGAATTTATGCTGCAAGTCCATCATTGGTCTAATGTCATCATTATAACCTTGTACATATCCTGAACATACAGTATATGCAGCTATGACCCCAACTGATGCAGAATTGTCCTGAAGAAAGTCATTTTTGAATTTTAATTTTTGAATTCTATGTGAGTCATTTTGAAACTAATAGGAGGACAATGAAAATAGGTACTGTACAGGTATAGTAGAGGTGGTACCTTGCTCAATAGTAGCAACTGTGAGAGGGATCTCTGAGTCCTAGTGGACAATCACTTAGATATGAGCCAGCAGTGTGCTGCAGATGCCAAAAAATCCAACACAGTGTTAGGCTGCATTAACAGAGGGATAGAATCAAGATCACGTGAAGTATTAATACCACTTTACAATGCCTTGGTAAGGCCACACTTGGAATACTGCATCCAGTTTTGGTCACCACGATGTAAAAAAGATGTTGAGACTCTAGAAAGAGTACAGAGAAGAGCAACAAAGATGATTAGAGGTCTGGAGGCTAAAACATATAAGGAACGGTTGCTGGAATTGGGTATGTCTAGTTTAATGAAGAGAAGGACGAGGGGGGACATGATAGCAGTGTTCCAATATCTCAGGGGCTGCCATAAAGAAGAGGGAGTCAGGCTATTCTCCAAAGCGCCTGAAGGCAGGACAAGAAGCAACTGATGGAAACTAATCAAGGAGAGAAGCAACCTAGAACTAAGGAGAAATTTCCTGACAGTTAGAACAATTAACCAGTGGAACAACCTGCCTCCAGAAACGGTGAATTCTCCAACACTGGAAGTTTTTAAGAAGAGACTGGACAGCCATTTGTCTGAAATGGTATAGGGTTTTCTGCCTGAGCATGGGGTTGGACTAGATGACCTCCAAGGTCCCTTCCAACTTTATTATTATTATATTTTTTAAGATACGGCACACCATTCGAAGGCAAGAAAGACAGATACGGGAAGCATTCTCCATCAGTTACATGTGGTCTGAAAAACTAATTTCTCCTTCTATATCTGAAGAAGCAGTTGTACCACTGAGGGAAATTAGGGCATATACACTAGTTTATAGGCTCAGCACTCCTCCCCCTTGTTAACAAACGACTTAAATCTTAATTGAAAAACATGATATAAAGATGTAAATATAAATAGTCCTTGACTTACAACAGTTCGTTTAGTGATTATTCAAAGTTACAACAACACTGAAAAAAGTGACTTATGACTGTTTTTCACACTTACGACTGTTGCAGCATCCCCACAGTCATGTGGTCAGAATTCAGATGCTTGGCAACTGATTGATATTTATGACAGTTGCAGTGTCCTGGGGTTATGTGATCCCCTTTGCAACCCTCTGACAAGCAAAGTCAACGGGGAAGCCTGAGTCAGTTAACAACTGTGTTACTAACTTAACAACTGCAATGATTCACTTAACATCTGTGGCAACAAAGGTCGTAAAATGGGGCAAAACCTAACAAATGTCTCAGTTAGCAACAAAAATTTTGGGCTGAGTTGTGATCGTAAGTCAAGGACTACTTGTATTTTTGTTCTCTTTTTAAAGGGGTTCTATCTATCTATCTATCTATCTATCTATCTATCTATCTATCTATCTATCTATCTATCCTTTGTGGCCCTCTTATTTTTGTTTCCTTTTGACCCTCAGGACTAGCTCCAGGGCAGCTCTATACATATCCTGCTCGGTGCTGGCGCAAGAAGAGACGTTTGCATCCCCCTGAAGACTCCAGGCTGAAGTTGCTGGAGATTAAACCTGGTAAGTGCTCTTTCTGCTTGTTTCTTTTCCTTCCCCATGCTTTCCTTTGCTCACTGGTGAGTCTTTTCTGTTCATCCTTGAATTGGAAGAAAACCCTATTAGCCTGAAATGAGCTGTCTTCCTTACTGATCTCTTCTGTTGCCTCTCTTTTAAATCCCTTAAGTCACATGAATTTCCTCCAGGGTTAGAAGGTGACAGTGCCCTTGGACCAAGTGGAATAAGGAGGAATATAGCAATTTGACATTGGCTCAGCTGAGCATAATTTAATGCTGTCTCATTCATGGAGAAGGCAGAAAAACCTGTTGCCAGGACCCTTTCTTTGCCTTGGAAAAGTGCAAGAGAAAAAGGGCCTTAAGTGTCTTTAAGTCAGGGCTTTTCAACCAGTGGTACGGGTACCACCTGTGGTACATTGGCACCTGGCAGGTGGTACGTGACCATCCTAGAAAAATGGTAGCAGGGGAAGGGAATGAGCTGAACCGGTGGCAGCACCGCACAAGCCTGAGTGAGAGATGGCTGGAGCTGCAGGGCTGCAGGGCTGTCAGTGGAAGCGCCAGGATTAGTGCTGCTTTCCAGCTGATCGGCGCTTCTGCGGGGCTGTCAGGGCTCAGTGGAAGAGCCAGGATCAGCGCCAGGCTCCAGCTGGAGCTCGGCGCTGATCCTGGTGCTACTGCTGAGCCCTGAAGAAGCACCAATCAGCTGGAGCTCAGCACTGATCCTGGCGCTTCTGCTGAGCCCAGAAGAAGCGCCAATCAGCTGGAATGTTGCAGCATCTCCAGGGTCTTGTGATTTACATTCAGATGCTTGGCAACTGATTCATATTTATGATGGTCACAGCGTCCCAGGGTCATGTGAAGTGATCAAAACCTGCTGCAACCACCCAGCAGATGGGGGGAATAAAAACCAAACACTCCCCCACCCCACCCCCACTGCCAATCCTCAACAGAAATGCTCACAACAATGAAAACCTCGGACAGGAGGAAGAGCACCACCGGGTGGGCAGGCAGGTGTCTTGCTCGGCTGTGGCTTGGGGGGCACTTTTTTCAGTGCCATTGTAACTTTGAACAGTCACTAAGCGAACTGTTATAAGTCGAGGACTACCTGTACTTTATCACTTTTTTCCTTTTTTTGGGGGGGGGTCATCAAGTTTTTGACACCTTGCTAGGCAATTAGTGGTACTCGGATGTTGCCATATCCTAAAAGTGGTACAATGGGTGAAAAGGTTGAAAAGCCCTGCTTTAAGTTACCGTTGGAGTAGACTAGAGCACTAGCTATTGCCACTGAAGAAAAATCTACAATGCAAACTTCAGTGTATTTTCTGCTTCTCTTCTAGCTTTATCTGTCTTTTGTTGCACTGACAATGTCCAACAGAATTTAAAAAGCCCATTCCAAATTCAGGTACAGATGTGGAAACTACAGTAGGTATGTTAGAGCTTCGTGTTCTTCTACCTTTTAAGAACCTGAAGTTTGGAATGGAAGTAAATCTCTTGGGTATTACACAAGGTGGTAGGTTCAATAACTCCTTCTAAGGGCCTTGCTACTTGGTGCTCTTTTTGCTCCCCAATCCTCCAAACCATTTTGAAGTTAGGTATGCAGTTGCTTTCACTTTTCACAGACCTCAGAAATGTAGAGAGCAGGAAGAGAATAGCACAAGCCCATCAGTGCACTCTCTCTCTTTTTCTCTCTTCTTCTGATCAGGAGGAACATGCAAGAAAATGGTACAATTATTATCAGGAAGTGAGTCATGGCAACCGGACTTATTTTTGTGTCGGTTTGAGATGTTTCACTGCCCATCCAAGCAGCTTCTTCAGTCTGAACAAGTTGGTTAGGGGAAGTTGAATAGGCAGAGAGTCGCTGGAATATACCAACCCCTAAAATTCTTAGCGATATTCCTCACCAACCTCAGGGTTTCTTCTGCAAAGTGCGTGGCAATATGTTGATGAAGATTCTCAATCATCAGGGTAAAATTGTCAGGAAGTTGAGTCATGGCAACTGGATTTGTTTTCTTGTTGGTTTCAGATGTTGAGAAGCTGCTTGGATGGGCAGCGAAACATCTCAAACCAACAAGAAAATAAGTCCAGTTGCCATGACTCAACTTCCTGACAATTTTACCCAGATGACTGAGAATCGTCATCGACCATTCAGTTCATTACTTTTCTCCAAGAGGTAACGGTGGCACTTCTAGGCTTTCTTTCCTCTGTTACTTCAAAAGCCTTTTGCTAGAAGGCAATTTTGCAAACCAGTGCTTTCCCCAGTAACTCTAACCATGGATGCAAGTTGCTAGAGTGGCTGAAGCAGAGGAAATGGGGAGATACATTCTAAGCAGAGAGATACCACGAATGGTATGCTGAAGGTTGCTGGGGGAATTGGGGATATGAGCAAGTGGCGCAACAAAAATCCCGTCATCCCCACTCCACACAAAATCAACAGCCCTCCCTTATGAGACAGTTGCTTGAAAAGTTGCCAGACAGCAGTCTGATCTTTTGCATGAGCTAATCTCCTGCTAAGGAGAAGGAAAAAGAAGACAACCCTCATGTTAGTTTCGGCACCTGTCCCTTGGGCAACTGTAGGGCAGAAACACATAAAGGATCTGGGATGAATCAAAAGAGCTGAGATCAGTTCTGGCTTCTGCTTAAAGTGGGATCAGCACTGTGGTTTGCATTTGCTAATCTGAGGAACTGCTATGAAATGTGAAGCTGTCAAACCATCTTTCCCTTTGAAGGACTCAGAATTAGAACGTTATGTCAAACGAAGCCAGGAGACAATATCTGTGATGAGGGAGAGACAACCCACAAGTTCTGTGGAGCTTTACTGTTGCTTGCAGAAAGATAACTTGTTTGTGCAATTTCATTTGGCTGTGATAGAAATTGATTGGCTTAGCTGCTAAATGGTGTGAGAATGCACATCTCTGGATCTGATTTTGGAGTGGTAGAAATATACCATATGAAAGTGCCTAAAGTTCCATTCATCTATCACCCTAGTAGCATAACTGGGTACTGCATTTGCAAATGAGCACGTGAGAAAGGTGTAGTGGGAAGTAACTTCGCACACTGTTCAGCAGTCAGTTTTAAACAGTTCCAACAGCTAAAGGAAACCTATCTCCAAAGGAAGCCTCGTATTATAGACTTTATGAGGTCCTTCACTGAGATAATGCTAAGATGTATATGAAAATTAACAAAAAATTACATATCTACTACTTGTGCAATTCAGGTCAAAAGCATGAATATTCCTAGTATCATAGAACTAGCTAGGTGGGAAGCGATGGTGATGAACTCTTGGTTCATCTCCTGTTTTTTAACTAGATTGCATGTCTATTTTTATTTTATTTTCTAATATTATTTCTTGCATTCATCAATTCCTGTTTTATAGTGTAGCAATCCAAGGGCATAATATCCGAGCTGCTAACGGAGAACCAGAACTAAAGAGAGCTAAAGATCATGTACTCCTCCATAAGTAATGTACATAAGTGAAAACGAGGAGCTGCTTATCTATTTTTCTCTGTGCTTCTGAGGCCTTCATATATCATTTGCTGGAATTTGAACTGCTTGTGACTTGGCTCATCCTTGAAAGATAGCAGGTGGCCTTCAGCAGAGAGAGAGAGTCTAATTCAAAGAACCAGCATATTTTTTATGTGGTTTCTAACTGCTTAACTGAAACACTTTTCTACCGTGTTATTGTGCTCAACTACTTTCAAACCGCAGCTAGCACTTGGAACCACAACATCATAAGATGGGGACAGAAGAGACAATGGACTCTCCTTTATTCTTTCAATTGCTAGTTAGGTTGGCATTAATGCATTGCAAGGATTGCTTCTGTGGTCTGCCTCCACACAGTTCTCTGTTTGCATTCCAAGGCTCAGCTCAGCTTCTGTTATCACATCTGTTTTAGTGAGCAAAAGGTCTTTTTGATGGCTTGTTGACTTAGGAGGAGTCTTTGAAAGCCCCCCCCCCAAAAAAGGGCTGCTAAGTTTTTTGTTATCATTGAGACAACTTGTAAAACACGACAACTCCAAGCTAACAACCTTGCCCATTTTATCAGGCATTTATAAGTGTGTGTACATTACTGGGTGTAAAAGATCCCATGGGATTTCAACTGGCCTTGTAAGGATTTAGAGCAAATACTAGCATATAAGAGAATTCTTACTTGTGTTCATATTCTTTTACTTCTCCTAGATATTATTTGTAAGTCTGTGAAGGTCCACCCAATCCTCAAATACATTTTCTTATGAATACAATAAAGAGATTTCTCCGGACTTTTATATTTTTATCTATCTTCTAAAGAAACAGCCAAAAAGAAATAGACTGATGTAAGATTCTTACGTGGAGGAATGGAATAGAAATTGAGTAGCTGGCCTTTGGTTCATGGCAGCAATTACCTAGCAGGCATTTCATTTTAGTCCATGTGTAGCACAAATCTTAGATAGAGATGAAGGTACTGTATATGCAGGAACAGCAAAATGCTTTTTACTAGTTCAAATGAAACTGTATCCTAGAAACTTTTGTGGGGATAATGACTGTCCCATGGTTTCTTTTGATTTAGATTTTTCTCTTCCTTGGTTTTTTTTTCCAAATGCAATTGTCTTCTCTAATAACTGCTTAGCCATTTCAGTCCAATTGGTTTAGAGTGCTCCCGGTCATCCCAATTAGACAATTCCATCTATTGAGGCCACCCTGGAATGAGGATTTCCCTAAGATCCAGGGGGCTCCTACCCTACTTATTGGTGTTTCAAGCAGGCTTGAAAACCTGGTTCTTTGCTAAGGCCTTTCTTTGCCTAGGATGGATGTGTATTGCTGCTCAGTTGGCCATCTTTGCTTCTTGTTCTTTTGCTGTGTTGCTTCATTGCTTGATAGTTTTTCAAACTGTCCAGAGCATTAGGAGTCGGTTTAGTATACATACGGCATAAGAAAAAAAAGAATAAGATAGTTAGCAAATCTCACAGAGAAAAATGTAAGGAACGAGGAGTTTAAACCAGTTCAGGTGTAACAATAAAGACTTTTTGCAAG